ACGTGAATCGCATAGAACACATGGTACATGACAAAGAGCCGGGTTAGACATTTTTCAACTGTCTCCAACAAGCGTTGAACAGCTTCAAACCACTCTTGATGAAAAATGGGTTTCTGTTTCACAAGAAGAAATCCGATCGCTTATTTATTCGATGCCTAGGATACTTAAGGCCCTCTGCGAGGTCAAAGGATGTAATACACGTAATTTTCAAAACTAGGTAATAAATTGTTAGTTAATCTATCACTAAAAGATTTTCCGGTTTTTGGTGAATTTTCTTTTAAAACAACATAATTAAATAATTTTTATTAAAAATCATAAATTTTTAATTTAATTTTGTTTAACACTTAATGTATGTTGTGTGGTGGTCAGTGACCGTTAATCGATAATTATATTGACTGACACCTCAACACGACACGCAAGAATGGCACAATTACACAGAAGACAAACACTTTGAGCCCTGAAGATGATCTCAATAAAGATCGAAACGTTGGCATGATAAAGAAAATGTTTTTCTGAAACCTACCTCACACCAGACCACATCTCACGATTTCTGAATAATTAGTATGGTGTAATCAATATAACGATAAAAATACATGTACACTGTTTGAAATAAACAACAAAATACGAGTGTCCGGTTTTTTTGTCTTTGAATGTATTTACTTTTTTAATTGGACAAAAGCGCTTCAAACAACCACGAATTGACAACTAAATCTTTTGCACATTTATGAAAAATTATATAATAATGCGCCATCAAGGATTCCTTTGTACATAATTGTATATTTTTAGGTAACTGTTAATTTAAGTAATAGAATACTTCTGTGAGTAGGACTATCTTTTCCAAAAAATCAATTTCCATACTCGCCCACCCCAAATTATTTCAGTAATTGTGTAATATAAAGGCCCAAAAATGATAATATATTTTTCGAGTTAGTTAATAAAAAAAAGACATAAGAGCTGATAATTATTCCTCGATGACAACAATAAATATATTTAAAAGCTAGAGAAAAGTTTGAGAACCTTTACTGGAACTGACATATCAAACCAGCAAAGATAGACAGACCAGGATGACAGGATAAGATCCAACTATAAATAATTATTTATAAATAATTATTATCATAAAGTACATTATTTTATTGAGTTACAGGTTCAAATCAAACGAAATGAACTTGAATTTTTGCCCGTTAAAACAAGAACAATACTCAAACCTTTTTAGAAACTTGTTAGTCTAAAAATTTGGTATTACTGGCAGACTGTCCGAATCATTTATCTCATCACCTTGAAAGATTGTTTAATTGTTTAACTAAACACAGCTTTATAAACAGGAGTTCATAATTGAATTTTTACACACAAAGCGAAAAAAAAATTGTTTTTGTAAACTCGGTATGACGAAATGCCGAAGCGCGACAACCCAGCGAGGATAGACAGACCAAAATGTTCGGCAGCATCCAATTTTTTCTCAGTTCGTCCAAAAACTGAAAATACTGTGCAAATATCTTGAAATAAAATTACCCTTTATTGTGCTGTTTTTTGGCCTAGATTAACTTAGTAATGTCAAAACGAATTCAACAATCAATTCAATAAATTTTTATTCATAAACTACGTAAATATGTACTGCAATAACACAAATAATTTAAATAAAAATTACCATTAAACTTCGTAAATATATATTGCAATAACACAAATAAATTAAATAAAAATTACCATTTAACTTCGTAAATATACACTGCAATAACACAAATAAATTAAAGAAAAAATACCATTAAAATTAAATAATAATTATATTTCTTTGGATTAGTGTTGTTTTAGACTTCTAAAAAAAACCCTAACAAATCCCTTCCTGAATATATAGTACTCTTATCAGAACTAACAAAATTAATGTAAATTTTTTATATAAATTCATCCGAATCTTCATGTAACCTTAAATAATCATGCATTATAAATATACGACATTTCATGTTTTTTACACTTTTAAATCCATCTTTAAACCCAAGTACTATACGTAATATCAAAAAAAGTCGTCTTATCAACTGGCTACATCGGAATGAAACGTTGCCTTAATAAGAATGAAAAACCAAGTGGATCTGTGCATATTTTATCCAAACAACAGCGTGAAGTCATTAAATGGAAAATAACTGATACTAGCTATAACAATACAGTTAAGGTAAATAATAAGACAAAAATTATCTTCTGAGATTATAAATCCGCCCAAAAACGTAAATCACTGCAGGTATTTCTCGAGACCCTTGCTAATCACCTTAAAATTGCATTAACCAAAACGAAAATATAAATGTAAACCATCACTTATTTAATTTTTATTTTATTTATTTTATTCTTTTCTTTTTATTTTATTCATTCGACAACCTGACATAAATATACCCAAACTGATCTCCGGATATGCCATAATCCTTTTTTTATATGTTGCTTAGCGAAAAACTAAAAAAAAAAAGGAATGTTGATAAATTCCTCTCCTGGTAAAATCTGAATATAAAAACGTTACCCTTATCAGATCTATAAAAAATTAATTTAAAGCTTTTGATTTGTTAGTACTAAGCGTGAAGCTTTCACCTCTCAAAATTTTTCAAGTCATGAAACTTAAAGAGATTCGAACAATAACTCATTCAAAAGTTAACGATTATATAAGTTACTATAAATGTACTTAACAATTTCCGATACAACGAATGATCAAGGCTCTAACAGAACCACATGAACCATAACAATACGGTATCTACTCAATTGTGCAATAATATGACATGTACTGAAGGGTTTATGAGGCCATTTAGAAAGAAAACATTTCCTTTGTCGAGCTTTCGATGGATATATCATTTCATTTCTTGGAGATTAATACGGTATAAAGTATTGTAAAGTTGTGATTTAACCCCTCAAATATATATCAAATAATTGATATTCCATACAAACAGAACATGTTATTTATTCAATTAGTGCAATAATGTGAATTGCACTCGTGCTCATGAGGCCATGATCACTAAGGATGCAATTAGAACGAAAACATTTACTTAGTCGAGCTTTCGATGGATATCCAGTTATTTTTTTATTAAATTCACTATTTTTCGTGGTCCGGTTGACCAGTTAATAACATTCAATTAATTAAGGTTTTATGTTAAGATAAAAAAGTCAGTGTCACGAGCGGGATTCGAACCCACGACATTCGGCTTGATACGCCGCTTGAGCTATCGTTTAGCTTTTGAATTTGCCCTCCTTTTTGCCATTTTTCGGGGAAGTTAGTGCCCGAGGGGATCGAGGTCACGATAGCTCAAGTGGTAGAGCAGCGGCATATCAAGCCGAAGGTCGTGGGTTCGAATCCCGCTCGTGACACTGACTTTTTTATCTCAACTTAAAACCTTAATTAATTGAATGTTATTTTTTATTTATTTGTTACTTTCTTATAAAGCATTGTAAAGTTGTAGTCATCCTTTAAAAGTCGAAATTTAATATAAACAGTACATGGTATATACTTAATAGAGTCTCTAGTGTTTATAAGGCCCATGATCATTAATGAGGCCAATTAAAAACATTTTTTCTTTTGATGGATATATATCCAGCCATTTCTTTGAGATTAATTATGTTTAAAGTGTTGTAAAGGGATGGTTAGGGATGATTATTTATTCAATTAGTGCAATAATGTGAATTGCACTCAAGTGCTCATGAGGCCATGATCACTGAAGATGGAATTGGGACGAAAACATTTCCTTAGTCGAGCTTACGATGGATATCCAGTCTTTTTTTAAGATTACTTCGCTATAAAGCATTGTAAAGTTATAATCATCCTTCAACATTCAAAATTTTATGGAAACAAAACATGGTATCTACTTAATAGTGTAATAATGTGACATGTTCTCTAGTGTTTATGAGGCCCATTATCATTAATGAGGCCTATTAGAAAGATTTTTTCTTTTGATGGATATATCCAGTCATTTTGAGATTAATTATGTTTAAAGGATTGTAAAGTTGTGTCTTATCTCTCAAAAATTGATATTCCATAGAAACAGAACATGTTATTTATCCAATTAATGAAATAATGTGAATTGCGCTCAAGTGCTCATGAGGCCATGATCACTGAGGATGCAATTAGGAAGAAAAGACGAAAACATTTCCTTAGTCGAGCTTTCGATGGATATCCAGTCTTTTTTTAAAGATTACTTCGCTATAAAGCATTGTAAAGTTATAGTCATCCTTCAAAACTCGAAATTTTATAGAAACAGAACATGATATCTACTAATAGTGTAATAATGTGACATGTTATCTAGTGTGTATGAGGCCCATGATCATTGATGAGGCCAATTAGAAAGACTTTTTTTTATGGATATATCCAGTCATTTTGAGATTAATTATGTTTAAAGTATTGTAAAGTTGTGTCTTATCTCACAAAACTTGATATTCCATAGAAACAGAACATGTTATTTCTTCAATTAATGAAATATTGTGAATTTCACTCAAGTGTTCATGAGGTCATGATCATTATTGATACGAATAGAAAGAAAGTATTTCCTTCGTCGAGCTTTTGATGGATATATCCAGTAATTTCTTTGAGATTAATTCTGTTTAAAGTTTTGTAAAATTGTGTTTTACCCCTCAAATATTGTTATTCGATAGAACCAGAACATGGTATCTATATAATAGCAACAGCGTGACATGTTCAAGTGTGATGATGATATTTAGGTGATTACTGCGAGTTGGTACGTATAATCAAATTTGATAAGCGTATTTTTTGACCTAATATCGTGGAGTAAGCATGACCAATGATGAAAGTGTTAGGTAAAGTGTTAAGCAATGATTTTACGCGAGCAGGCTTAAGGCCTGGAATGGCCTATCGCCTAGCAACGGTACAAACATAAGTTTTGGCATCGCTTCAAACTTAAAAACGAGAACTTGTGTATGCAACATCTCGATGTTGTGTAATATTAAAGATTGTGCCAAGGAGCCTAGAGTCTCGAAAATAAACCTTTTACATCCAAAAAATAAAATTTGAGCTTGGCACTCACCTCAGCCTCACATAATCCGGGTACGTGATCAGACTGCCGAGCTTTTCGGCCGAGGGGTTCCGCGACGATTTACTCCTGAAGGTGGTCTCGGACGTGTGCTTTTCCTCGGTCGACCACTTTCCTCCGCTCGTCGCTCCGACTTCCTCGTCGGCCGTGCGGAGTCTTGTTACGCGCATTTTGTTCTTTTTCAAAGGACGTTCCTGTACCTCGTCATCCTTCGTCCTCCGGTTGCGTTGTTTATTCGGGCCGAGCCCCACGCGAAGTTCGCACTCTTGGCCCAGATTTGAGTAACCTTCGGCTCTTTCGCCCTCAGGCGGTTCGGCAGAGGGAAATCGGATGAAATGACACGGTTGAGAGAAGAGTGAACAGCCGCACTTTTTCCGACTTCTAAAGTGTTGACACAGTGTGAGTCAAACTTTTCGAATTGGGGCGAAAAAATAAACTCGGCTTCCCAATGTCAACAACAGTATCTAAAAGCGCACTATACTACACTAAACTTTTCTAAAAACGCCACTGGCTATCGATGCCGCTCATAAACACTTTAAACTACTCGATTAGTTATATCGATATATTTTGATAATCGAATTACTACCATCTTTCAAAATATCTATCTTGGAATCCCCTAATACAAAAGTAAAAAAATAATAAATAAAATAAATTTGAAATTTTAGGACAAAAATCCGTAAAAAGATCAAATTATACAATATGTGCGTTTTTTAGTGACTGGTCGATCAATAATTAGTTGAAACAGTGCGGAGTGGTCAGGAATAAAGTATTTTACAAAAATACTTTTATCATGTTTTTACCGACATTTCTCCTTTATTTTGGTCATCTTTAGGGCCTGGAGGAATTACAAAACATAAGTTGACCTGAATGTTATTTTTTCCCATCAACATAGGTTTTTTAATTCACCCAGTTCCTGAAGACGACCAGAATAAAGGTTGAAATGACGGAAAAAGAATGAAAGAGCATTCTAATAGGTAATATGATTGAGTTACATCTTCCAAAATATCTATCTTGACATCCCCAAATAAAAAATTAATGAAAAAAAGTAAAATTGACATTTAACAACAAAAATCCAATCTTTCAAAATATCTATCTTGACATCCCCTAAGACAAAATTAAATAAAATAAAATAAAATTGAAATTTTACGACAAATATCAGTAAAAAGTTCAAATTATACAAAAATAACATATATGTCTATTATTTAGCGAGAAGTTGTTCAATAATTAGTTATAGTAGTGAGGAGTGAAGTATTTAAAAAAACACTTTTTTTCTTTTTGCCTACATTTTTGACCTTTATTCAGTTCATTTTCAGGGCCTGTATGAATTAGAAAACATTTGTTGATCTGATGGATATTTTTTATAATCAACATATGTTTTGCAATTCACCCAGGTCCTAAAAATGAAAAAAAAAAAAAAAAAAAAGAGCACTCTAACAGGTGAGATAACCAAGTTACTTCTTTCAAGATATCTATTTTGAAATCCCCAAATAAAAAATTAACTAACAAAAAAAATTAAAATAAATTTGAAATGTTGCAACAAAAATCAGTAAAAAGATCAAATTATACAATCTGTGTGTTATTTACAGGCTGGTTGTTCAATAATTAGTTGAAGTTGTGAGGATCAGTCTGGAATGAAGTATTTTAGAAAAACAACTTTTTTTGTCGTTTCAACCTTTATTCTGGTCATCTTTAGGGCCTGGGTGAATTAAACAATATAAGGTGATCTGAATGATATTTTTTCCAATCAACATATGTTTTGAATTCACCCAGCCCCTGAAAATGATCCGAATAAAGGGCAAAACGACAGCAAAAAAATGAAGAAGAGCATTCTAATAGGTAAGATAATTGAGATACAACATCTTTCAAAATATCTATCTTCAAATATTTAAATACAAAATTAAAAAAATAAATAAATAAAACTAAATTTGAAATTTTGCAACAAATTTCAGTAAATTGTCAAATTGTTGTTATTATTCAATAATAACATGTATGTCTATTATTTAGCGAGCGGTTGCTCAATAATTAGTTGTAGAAATAAGGAGTGAATGAAGTATTTTAGAAAAACACTTGTTTTTTAAATTTTTTGCCCACATTTTTGACCTTTATTCAGGTCATTTTTTGAGCCTGAGTGAATACAAAACATATGTTTATTGGAAAAAATATCAATCAGATCAATTAGAAAAAACGTCAATAGCAGTTTCAACTGATAAGACTTTTTATTTTATTTTTTTAGACAGTCTATAATAAAATACCTCCCTAAATTAACAACATTAATAATAAAAATGGTTTGACAAATAAAGGAAACAGGGTTGCTATTAATAATAGTGGTTATAATTGAGTGAATAAATCAATTTGATGACTATGTGGATTACTAGAAATGGTGGAGAAAGTATGTAGTTTCCCTTTTTGTAAATGATGCTTCTACTCACAGATTTGTTATTTACACGTGTGCATTCCAACGTCGAAAGGGATAGTTCTACTCACAAACTGTGTTTGGCAGTTATCTAGATTGCAAGGATTTAAATGCCCATAGATGGTATCAAACCACTTCACAATACAAGATTTTGTATTAAAAAAGGAAACAGGGATGCTCTTACCGTCTATTTATCAAGGTTTATTATTGTAGTTAATTTTATATTATTGTTCTGTATCATCAATTTGGTCATAGATGTATTTTGTGCTGTTATGCTAGCATTTTCTCCATGTGCTGAAATTTATCGCACAAGTTTCTGTTTCAATAATAAAATAGCTTCCTTTCCATAATAAGAACAAATAAAAAATTGCTTATGATCTCCAAACTTACATATCTGTTTCTTTTGGTCTCGCATAATCTGATGATGGCATATCACTGAATCAGGTCTCCTACCACCAACCGCCAACACTGTACCAAACAATAAAATAATTAGCGTTTTGGTTTCCCAATCGATAAATTATTTATGGTCCACAAAAAAACTACATGTCGAGAGTCTGACATGTTAACCACTTGGCTACAACAGTCGCGGTCCCAGAGAATAATTGTGTTGCATGTATTAACAAATTATTAATGACCCTATTCCGATTTTTGGAGGATACAGTTTTTTTATTGTAGTTAATTTTATCATTGTTCTTTAACAATAAGTTTGGTAATAGATATATCTTGTGTTAACTGTTTTGCAAGATTGTATTTATTAGCACGAAAGAACAACAAGTGGTTAGGGCCTCTCTACGGTTCTTGATTCGATTCCCAACATATCCCATGTAATAGATAATAATATGGGAAAAATATTCTAAAGAGGTTTGACCCCTCATTCAGTGACACCCAATAAATATTTGGACATTAAGCCATATTATATGACAGGAATTAATTACTTTTGAGTTAATTTATTAGCATGAATGTTAGTGCATGAAGGCCAATGGCAGAATTTATGCAAAATTAGATTAGTTGTTAAGTATGTGGGGGTAGTAAAGTAATATCGAGTACTTAATCGTGAATGGCATTATAAGTTTATAAGTATATATAAGTTTAAGTTTTTAACCTAATCACATTCTTTCCTATTTACATACCATTCACTCAAGTAGGTTAATTAAGAACTCGAGTGGACTGGATCATCCGACAAACTTTTACAAATCAAGAACACAACTGAACGATGACCTTCTGAGAGTCTGACACAAAAGGAAGGGATTGTGCTAACCCAATTGAGGATGGGCCATACCCATCTAACACATAGACACCTGCTTTTGGGTCAAAACATGTAGTATTCTATTTTTAGAGAAAGGTTGCACAGCGAGTCACACTTGATTGAAGAGTGCCATGCCTTGGCCCCTTACAGGAAGCGAGTAGGCAACCCTTTAAACATAGCATTCAAGCGGGAGAGCTGTTGGGTCCCCTGTTCGGCTTCTTAAGGGAATAGGGGTGTTTCTCATATTTAGAATGGTATATACCACACACACAAACACATATTTATTTAAATGTACATACAGCCACACTGTATATACTACTAAATATGAGAAACACCATGTATACATACATGAATACATACATATATATAATGTGAATTGTAATTAATTAAAATTGTGTATGTGTGGTTATGAGAGGGCTGATGATGGAATATCGAGTACCCATCGGCAATTACAGTGCGATGGGGGCTGAAGTTACTTTATTGTTAGTAGACTGGTAAAAAATTTCTTCACAAGTACCAACATCAGTCTTTAGTGGAAAAATACTACTTTTACTATTTCAGTGTTTCATTATGCAAAAAGTAAGCCATAAACAGAATATGTTATATAAACGAGTTTACATAAGTACATTGTGTGAAGAAGAAGGTTGAGTTTGTAAGTGACCTGACAAGAATGTTGTAGCATTTCTTCTACATTTCTTACTTGCTTTATAACTGAATCATATAAACCAATCTATCAGAAACAAAAACAATCAGACTTTTGTTTTCTAGTCTTAAAATTTGTTTAAATCCAAAGTAACCTTTAAATTAGTAATATAAAGAGCTACAAGCTGTTGTTAAGGGAAAAATTTGAAATTTTATGTTGTCTGATTGTTTTTGTCACACTGCAGATCATATTTGTGATATTTTTGTAGTGTATGTGTTTTTAAAACAACAATTTATTTATTTATTGTTTAGTTAACTGGAATCAATTGTTTAAATTCTGTGACTTGATACACTAAACACTTTCAATCAATATTCTCTATATTTTGTATTAGTATTAAAGAATGTTTAAATAATTGGGAAAATCTAGAAATTTAATTTAAGATGTGTTGAATCGAGTATCATCTTTGAGAACAAAGTAAAATGAAGTGCAGACTTTTGTTATAATCCAAAGAATCAGCATGAAATCATCACTGTTATAATTTTAACGATTGTTAATTGTTAGGCCAATTTCTATATTTTTATAAAGACTATTCATTGTTGAGTTTATCTAATATATTAATCAAATTACGTACCCAGAGCCAAGAAATTGTATTAACAGTTGATAGATTATCTTTACATCCTGTTTCAGTTTGTAATCTTTAAAAAGGGATTAGGGGAGTTTAGGGCAAAGGAAGTAAATATATACTACTGTTGCATTAAGTTACAATGGATATATTTCAATAATAAGGCTTTGGTCTTTCGATAGATGTTACAAATTAAACAAAATGTTTATACATTATAGGTGTTTTTTTAGTTTATTATGTTTTTTTGTTTTTTTTGTTGGTTTTTTTTAAAAGACGATTAAAATTGCTACATTTCGTCGAGACAATATTTTTTTCATTTATACAACATAGGCCAGCATTAATAATTGTAACACACAATACCTTCCATTTTGATGACTGTCACCAACTCCATATCAATACTACAAAAATGAAACTGTGCATATAATTGCCATTGATTGCAACAATTCGTCAGCACAATAATACGATATCCAATTGCCATATAAGAATATATTAACACAAATCTGTAACATTTAGCACTTCTATGATAAACACATTTACCATTCAATGTAATAATTAAATAGGAAAACAAAACAGTTTTGCATAACAGATAACATACATAATATACAAAAACATTTGACAAACTAACAAAAACAACCACGTGTACATCATTACAAAACAGTAACATTTTTATTTTTATTTGTATAATTTGAGCAATTGTTACACAACCAAAAATAAAGTTGTTGCAATCAATGTACCCACTTATATATACATGCAACAGGGGTAAAAATGGTAATGAATATAATATGTACAAACTACAATGAATATACGACACTTCCAATATAGCCAATTTTTTTAAAATTAATAAATAAGAATTTAATTTTCTTAAATATGCAATTAGGTATAATCAGCCATATCCTTATAAAGGTAATTTGAAAAAATGAATCAGTTAACCATTAGACACAAAATTAAAATATCAGACATCCCGTATATAACTTTTTTTAATATATGCTTTAAAATAAAACAATTTCTACTTCACTTTTATTTATTTTTGAGATATGCTGTATGCAAACAAGTAAAACGAAACATTTGGGCAACTCATAATTATAGCATTATAACATAATTGGCTGATGGTTAATCTGTGTTGATTAAATACTTGGGGCGAAAAATCAAACACCAAAAGCAGAGTAAAATAACTTACAACGATGTCATATAAAACATTTATAGTAATAATAATATTGACATATATTGCAAAAAGAGAGTTACACAAAGTAATACTAATAGGCAATATTTTTTCCTGATTGTAAAAGCTAAGGAGATACTCATATAAACATAATGACATCTTGGGGCTTGTATTTACAGATTTATCATTTGTTTATGAAGTTTGAGTGCTTCCTTTTAAAGGCTTATTCATTTTTAGGCTGACTAGTACGAGAGGGGAGTCAACAAAAATCAAAGTTGACAGAATGTGATTAAAAAGAAAGTAAAACAAAATTTTTAAATGTAAAAACTTGACCTGTAATTAAAAAGAAACAAATAATTAAAAAAAAAAAACTAACCACACATCCCATCAATCCAGAAACCATTGATATACCTTGTACACCGATTTTTATAATGTAGATGTCCCAAGCCTTTCATGATGAGAAAACACTATAGAACAAATTTTGTTGTTTATATATAATTTGTGTACGTGTGTATTTGTGTATGTGTGTGTACACACATAAATATTTTTTATTCATTGGATGAAGAGTTCCCAAAGGGGAGGATACATTACACTGATGATGCTTTCCCAATATGATCCTATTTATATATACAAACATTTTGACAACTACAGTCGTTCTTTTAACCGATTTGGATGTACAAACGACCCCTTTCACTACTATTATTCCATTTAATGTCATTTTGGCTTTGTATATTTATATATAATTATATATATATTTTCTGGGTGTATTTACAAGTCTCAAACTGCCAGTCTTATAAGTAGGGATAAAAACACCGCATTTTCCCTGGGGAAATAAAAATTGGAATGTCGATATTTGTATAAGACTGTTTCTTTAATAATAATTTTCCTCTCTCTCTTTTATTTTTATATTTTTTTGAAAGACCATTTTTGTCAACAAATCCTCCACTTTTGCCCCCATTTGAAAAAAATGCCATGCCTTAGCCTAAAAAAAGTGTATATATTCATATTTTATATATTTATATATCTTACAAGTTGTACATTTAAAAAACACCACTTTCACTTTTAGGTATGTGTCTGTTTTATATTTCAATAATTTCTTTTTTAAATATATTTTTCATCACAGTTCATACGGCGTGAAGGAATCTGAAGTATTTTGCAGGGACAAATTTGTCTACTCCAGAAGATTTATTCCTCCGCCTAGGTTCCTTGTGTCATACTGCATCGGCTGATCTTTTAAAATTTATGTTCTGCGAAGAACAAAAGTCTCTGGTGAGTGGTAGGCAGTTGAAATAGCCACAGATCTCACAATCGTAGACTGGTATCACATAGAAAAAGAGGACTAGAAGTAGGAAAAGAAAAACAGTTGTGATGAGACAAACCCATATTAAAAAGATTTTCTTCTGTCTGTCATATTCTCCCAATGAAACAAAAGGAAGGATAGCATATGAAAGAAGGAAGCCAAAAATAAACCCAAAAAATGATGAAAAATTGTCAAACCACGGGAGAAGACCAATAATAAAAAGAATAAGTGCTATTGTTAAGTGCTTAAAGAGGGCACAATAAGGGTGTTTCAGCATTGGCCACATGTTGAGGATTTCCACAATGAGGCAGGCTAAAAGTCCTGATTGCGACCCTGCTGGACCCACCTAACATACAAAAAAATTATTATTTTCATAATTAATATATTATTAAATAAAAAAAAGCTTACATCTGCCCTATACGGCACAAATATGGCGCTAGCAAGGTTTCCAGCAACACCCGATCCAATGTAAATAATTATTATTCTTGCAGTCCCTGTAAGCTTTTCCAAATCTCTCATCAGGAACCACTGGATGCAAAGAGATATAGCTAGTTGTATCACACTGAAAAAATACATATAAAATTATTTACACTGTGCTTTCGGTAAATGAGATTTTAAAGAGAAATTTGAGCCTACCCAGCATGTAAGAATATTGAGGTAATGAGCCTGTAAAATTGATCAGGCACTTCAGAGTTCATGAATGGTAGCATCCCACAAACATTGTCAAGGCACGATACCTAAATGGGCAAAATAATCAACTTGTAATTACATTAAAAAATATTTAAAAAGAAAATTAAAAATGATCACTTTATTAACTTGTAATTAATCATAGGGGACACACTGTTCGTTATTAATAGTACAGTAATAATTAATAGTAAACACATTCTCATTGCTTTGACTTAGAAGAGTAATTTTAAAATTTACCTTGAATATAATATTTTTCAATTTGTTTGTCATATTGTGTTTATGTAATAGGTTTTTAAATATTTTTTAAAATTTACTTTTAGTGTGTGGTGATTAGTGACCATTAATTGATGATTATTCAGAAATCGGGAGAGGTCTGGTGTGATGTAGGTTTCAGAAAAACATTTTCTTTATCGTGCCAACGTTTTGATCTTTATTGAGATCATCTTCAGGGCCTGGGTTTTACAAACATTGTTTAAATTTAACAAATACATGTAGGATGTGGAAAACAGTGAATTTATACAATGCAAAAAATATATACGCAGAAAATAAACACTTTGAGTGAGTAGAAATACTTTGAATGAATATAAAAAATATATTTTGTATTGTATAAATTCACTGTTTTCCACTGTTTTATTCTGTATTTGACAACCTGAGGTACAAACGAGAGACTAGCATTCTAGAATATCAACATAGTATATATCTGAAATCAGAGAGTCAGTAACCAGATCGAGATGCTCAAATGGCTGCAGTTCAAAACAAAATATGCGCAAAAGAAAAGAAAAAGATGGAAAACACGCAGAGGGCCGGCGATGACCTCAGCTGTTTGTTGGCCCATAAACTTCCCACTTATATACATCACACCAGACTGCATCTCACAATTTCTGAATAATTACTTTTTAGTATGACAAAATATAAAACTATTTCAATAATTATTAGTTAAAAACATGCATTTCAGTTTGATGACATATAACATGTATTGCTATAGAATCCTCTGTTTAAAAAAGATTCCAAAAAAGACAAAAAGAAAAGTGAATAAAAATTTAGGGGTGCTAGACAAAGTAAGCTTATGTTAAAAGAACTCTCACTAAAAGAAAGGGTAAACTCTGAGGAGTGACAGGACTAGTCACTGGCATCTGAGAAAATATGTACATAACATGAGTATATTCAATGATGTCAAAGTTTATGCAATGAAGTGGACAAAACAACCACCCATATCATCTTCGAATGTGGAGCAATTGCTCAATAGCGAATTAGCTTTATAAGAGCGCAAAAGTTGACATCTCCACAATTGATAAGAATATTTTTAGAAAGGTGTATACTCTGTAAAGAATGGGTCCTAATACTTCCTTCCAGATACTTTCTTGGGGTACTCCTTTATCTGTGCGACAGTTGGGTGCTAGAATCCATTGATGACTTGGAAGTATCTGTCAGTTAAAAAGGATTTTAGGAACAGCTCCACGCAGTTTCACATCTAGGAATACAGTGGGGCAAACTCCATTTGGCAATGCAGTGGTACCGTTAAATAGTGGAATGAGAATGTCTTAACACAAAGGAATAAGGTGTGGGAATTAAGGATAGGGAAAATGTGTTTAAGTAGAAGTTTTTCTACAATTTTTCACACTAAAGGCACTAGGCATTATAAGAAATTGGATGGTAGGGCTAGTTTATTAGTAGGGATAGTTATGATATTTCTGAGCCTTTGGAATATTCTAGATAAGGGAAAATTAAATTTTAAACGAATTAACGCAGAATTAAAGCCACCTTCAATCACTGGCCAACAATAATGGCAGTGCAGAAATGGAGAGATGGTAATGAGAAAACAAAAAACTTACTAAACAGAAAGCTAAATTCTAATTGTCTAAATTCTAGCGGATATTTAGATCAAATTTAGTTTTAAACAAATAATGAAAAACTGGGTAAGAAAAAATCAAAGATATGTACATATCAATTAAGAGCTTGTACTTCTTATTCCAATCAAATTAATAAGAATAAGTTGCTGTTAAACCTTTGCTGTATTTTTTAATGTCTGGAACAACACTAATAATTGGTTTGTTCTAGAATTTTCTTGATTATTTTTGTAATGTATTGAAAGTTTTCCGCATAAAAATAATATTTCTACAAGCCTACTTATACTAGCAGGTAATTCAGGAGTTAAAATTACGTTGAAATGAATCTAGTGACAAACCTGAGAGCAAAGAGAGGCTTCTTCATGAAAATGTCCGTGTACAAAATCGCAATACTCTTTCGTCGTGATTCTACAAGTCGCATGGATGCCTATACAACATGGGTGTCCAATAACGTCGCATATCATATGCTCTGCCGCTAGCCTGTCTTTTGCTCTTGCCCTTTGCAGAGGAGAAGATGTTTTTCGGCAAATCGGCCATTTTGTTATGTCGTCTGGCCATTCGTAAGGTGCTATGGATGCCGGTGCTTCACAATATCTGTAAAAATACCAATTAACGTTAAATAATGCAAACAGTTGTTACAACGAGAAGCGTATCTTGTTTGTAAAACAAAAGCAAATATACTTTTTTTTATAACTTACTTGGGATCAAGTCCACAGACTGATCCTGATATCCTGCCTCCTGGTACTGCTTCTGAATGGCCCCACTTTTTAAATGTTGATATCGTTTCCTAGAATAAAGCAAATTTAATTTGAACAAATGACTTCATTTTTTTCACAACACAAAAAAACTGTTTCTAAATTCTTATAATAAATTATATAAATAATAGAAAGAAAAAAGAATAAACTCCATGCATAATTTAATTTGTACAAGTAATCATCGGTAATATATTTTCCATTTTATATCGTACTTAATGTTAATGCCAACTACTGCCTGCAAACTAATACCACCTACCTTACCAACACCTCTTGCCACATGACTCCGAGTGGAGACCAGCATTTTAAAAGAGAAGATTTTATAAATATTTGACACAAGTGATTAAATAATTTTAATTTTTCAAATTGTGATAGTTTTGTTACAGTTAATGTAATGTTTTAAAATACTTACAGAGCATTCATTTTTTGATGACTGAACACATCCTGAATCATCGTTTCTTATACAACAAGCAGTTTCCCGTTCTCTTTCTCTACCTTTATCGATTTCTTTCATGATTTTCGCATCCCTTCTCATACAAGGGGCAAATTTCGCTCCAAGGTAAATCAGATCAGCCTGGAAATTAAAAAATTAAACAAATTAAACAAAAAAAGGAACAGTTGTTTGACAAATTTGAGGAAAATAGCCCTTACTGCTCTAGGACCAAGCCAAAAATTGGCCGGCTCTGTATATTCAACCTGCTGTAGTGAAAGGCTTGTAACTAAAACCTAGAAAAACAAATATTTCGACAATTAATAAAATTAATTTTGTAGCATTGAATTCAATACTTACAAGACCCGATTGGTGGTTAAGGTCCATTCCAAAAGGTCCAAAACCATAAGACACAAGTGAAATAACTAGAATTAATATTTGAACAGTCGAAAGCCAGTAGGTAAAGAATGGCCTATGGTCTTCGAGGTCTTCTAAAACTTCCTTCACAGGCTCTCGATTCATAACAGACCTTTTCAAAGATCTTCTGCAACACATATTACAAATACATTTTAATACTGTTATTTTATGATAGTTTAATGTCAACTAAACAAAGACAACGTACAGTTGTAGCTTTTAAAAGTGATCAAGATATAAATACGTAGAGTTTCTTCATTGTGTCTGTTTGGGAACCCTTAGGGTTATGCCCATACTGTGGAAAGTGTGCTTTTTTTCACAAAAAACTAAGCACTTTTCTTTTTACGCACTTCTCTTCGTGTGAGAATTGCCTTTCCGAAGTGACATTACCAAATCCAGACTTGTGCTTTGCTTTGATAAAGAATACTATATACGGAAAAATCATCTTATATGCTGATGTCTCTGGTTCCACTTGACAGAGTCGACATGTTTCTGCATCTAGTTTGCCCTTATTATTTAGATGATAATGGCTGGTGCAGAGGTATATAATTTTCCTCAATTCTTGTCTGCCGAGAGAAGAATATCTTCATCTTCCTTTTTGAGTGATTTATAAATCTCTTAGGCTGCCTGATGCCTGGTGCTTTTGTCTAATGCTTTAGTTTTTATGTCTCGAGCTTTTTTCTAGCTCCATCTTAGTTGTGGTTCCAGTGTCATGGGTGAGAGACTGCATCTTCTATGGCTAGTTGGTCAGCCTGTTCATTTCCTTCTTTACGTCAGGTCCCAGAACCCACCTTAAAGTAACATTGTGTTTTCCAAAGGCCATTAGTCAATTTAGTTATTCCTAGACTAGTTTGGGATCATTTAGTGCACCTTACTGTCCAAAAGTATGTAAAGCTGTGTACATTTCATATTATCCTCTATCAACTCTTGTGCACTGAAATGGATTGCATTGATCTCAGCTTGAAAGATAGGACCAATCCAAGGGGTTTTGTTAGGATGTAATTAAGCTCTTTTATCCATTCAGCTACTCCCCGTTCGACCTTTGATCGATTAGTGTACTAAATGAGAGGCACTTCCTCCTGAAACTTGGGGTACCTTTTTTCCAAAGATCTGTTAATTCTGACCACTTGGAAGAGTCTATCAAAGGTTTCATGACTGATATAGCTATCTCATTTATTTTAATTCTCTTTAGAATTTTGTGATGGATTCTCTTTAGGTCTGGTTTTATTTCCTACTCTTTTCTTATTTATTCTTATCTCAGGAGTATGTTGCCACTCTTTAAGACAACCTTTTATACATAAATGTATAAGGGTGGGAGATCGAGTGCAGTTTCATTTGCTTTGAGGGATAACTATTTTAGCCCCTGTTTTGTATCTCCACTGTGTTAAAACCATTACACCATCCTGGGGTTTATTCCTCCAGTTTTTGCTGCATAATCTCTGGCTAATGCTTAGCAATGCCATAGCTTGTGTAGTATTTTGCCCATATGCCATCTCCACTTGAGCTTTTTTGTTGAAGGGTAATACCGAAGTATTTAGTTTCTTTGGAACAAGTTAAGGTATCATCTTTTATAGTGTATGCTTTTAGGTTTAACTACTTTCTTCTTGAGAAGGATATTGGTTTTCTAAGGTAACTATTTTCTTAAGGTTGATTTTCTCATGTTTTCATACCATCTTTATACAATTTTTTAGTGGTTTGCATTGGATTTCACAGAATTTCATCAAATTTTCTCCTTATGTTGTGATTAGAGCATTTACGATTGATAACCGTAAAGGTGGCAGTAGTATTGGTCCTTGGGGGCTTCTTTGAGTAGGTGCTGTCTAGTATATTCCAATGTCCAATTCAGCCTTTCTTATACTACTTTTTAGCATTGATGTTAAAATGTTTAGACCAGTATATAATATAGTTGTTTTATGAATATTAAAAATTATGCAAAGTTTAGAGATAGAAATACAACTTTTCTTGCTTAATTTTGTTATGTTAGCAGTTTTGTCTTAATTGTAAATATGTATTAAAAAATAATATTTATTAATTTAAAAAAAAATTGCTGGAATTAGTCAATGACAAGAATCCTCAATATGCAATATTCCATTTTTTTCAATAAAGCTGAAACTATGTTCAAAAAAACTTTCAAGTAAATTTTTGTTTTGGAAGTAAATTTTTCCTTTTCTGATTTGAAAATATATAATTAATTGGATTTCTTTTCTTTCTTCTTAAGTAAAATACTTTTGATTATTTTTTAAATAATGTAGATGTACAATTTTCTTACCCAAACACTCGGTGGATAATTCCTTGGCCGAATTGTCTCCTATCAGAGTTGTCGTGCGCTCTGTCAAGTTCTATCCCCGATATCCTCCCAAGTCCTATTTGGCTCCCAGACCCTTCCCTTTTGGCATCTCCTGCTGCCCTCTTCCAAGACCCATGCCTGTTTTCAAAAGATACAAGATTGTCATTCCATTTCCAAAAAAAAGAGATTTTTTAAAAATTTATTGAATCGATGTTACAGGCGAAATTGTTATTTCCAATTTCCTATAGTAAAAACACAATGGCAAATGGTTTTTTACTCTTGGATTAAACATAAATAGTATTTAAAAAGTTAGTGAATTATTATATATGTTAAAAAAATAAAAAATATATGTTTTTATCTAGAAAAATTCTAAAAAATAATAAAGATTTGGTAATAACGTACTTGTCCGATATTTGGTACATCTTAAGTTAGCCTTAAGATATTTTTTGGGTACAGTGAATCATTAAATCATGGCGATTTTCGTTATTTTGTAAATGGAAAATCAAAGTCAAGGAAGCCAGGCTATTTTGAATTGGAAGAGAACGAGACCCTTAATTAGTGAAAAAGGGAAAAAAGAGTCAATAGATTGATGAGTTGGCCGTTCATAATTGACAAATGCCCTCGAACCTCGGCAAAGAACCAAAGATACTCACAGCTAATAAAGGAAAGTTACAAAATTCGGCTAAAAATCGGACCTCTATCCAGAGGAAGGACTGTTGACGATGGTTTGATCAGAATCGATCTTCGGCCCGTTTATTTTCGCCGTTTGGGTCCAGAGACCCACTGAAGACTGCATTAAGCCAGATTGACCCTAGAACGAATACGAGCATAGGCGGACCAAAGGGGATGTTTTGATCAACTCACTGTCAAAAAGTTCACAATCTGGAAGGAATTGCTAAAACCCCTACCTAGAAAAATCTTTTCGTGTAATTTGGACGGTGGAAGATCAAGGGATGTATTTCTTGATTTTGAGAATGAAATTGAGTTTTGAGGTAGAATTGGTAGAAATGTTTTGGTTTTTTCAAACGTAAAATTGGTACTTTCAACAGTCAATTGACGGAGTTCTAAAGGCCTGCGTTGGAGGTTAAATTAAAATGTAATTAAGTGATTAACATAAAAAAATAAAACTGTTCCAGTATAATATATAAAAAACGAAAAATTAAATTGTCAAATATTTTTTCTCGTTTCCCTCGCTGAGATTCGCCGACAATTTCCCCTCGTAAGATAAATTATATTCGCGAGATAGAAAGACTCGCTTTATAGAGTAAAATCATTGTTTCTCTGATAGGAAATGAGAATAATTAGAAAACTTGGCTTTGCCTGGAAAATGTTTAATTGAGATATTAGCTTTACGGGGGGGGGTTTCGTGCTTCGTCAAAGGAGGAAACAAACCAAGTTTCTTAGCTTGAGTGTCTAATTACCCTATTCATGATTCACTCGGTAAATTTCTATTTTCCATCAAAACGTGATTTGTAAACAGCCGGAACGGAATTTCCTTTATTGCCCGCAAAAAGCCTGGCTAAGATTAAACAAAACATTGAACTGTAGTGTACGCTTGTAGATAGAGTACGGTTACAAAGACTTAAGGCAAAATTTCAACTTTGCCAAGTTTCAATTCATCTAAGTATTATACTGTTATAACGACCTTGAAAGTTGGCCATTACCGCAGGAAGGAATCGCAGGACTCTGGAGAAATATGGGTCATAATTGGAAGTACCTGATTTATTTGGTGATCTTACAAAATACAATAATAATTATTGTACAGTACAAATTAATGTAAGAGACAGCAATAGGTACCCAAATAATACCATTTAACCCATTAGTGCCCGTAAATATTTTCGTAAAATTATTGGAATTTTATAACCTAATTATCGGTGATCTAAGGTAATTCGGATTATTATTTTAATATATCCCTTGTCATTTCACGATGATGAAGTCTTATCAATGATGAACAGCATGGTTTTATGAAAAAAATAGAACAACATTGACAAATTTGTTGTCTTTTCAACAAGACATATTGGATACATTCAATAAAAAAAATCAGGTTGTTATCATTTATACGGATCTATCGAAGACTTTTCATATTTGTTATGTTGTAAATTATCTAATCTTGAGTTTTTGGTAATTTTGTTAACTGGCTATCTTACTCCTTAGCATCAAGAACCCAACTTTATCAGTTAACAATGTATTCTCAAAGCACAGAAATGTAAAATCTGGTGTTCCACAAGGTGGACAATTATCGCCGTTATTCTTTCATTATTTTTAATGATACAACATTTTCAATTATTAATAGGCAGTAATTAAGTATCGCAACATTAGATAGTAATTGTATAATTTAATAATAAAAAAGTTTGATTTTCCTTATTTAAAAATCCGACGACCCTTGCCGTTTGACTTTTAATCCGGTTCCAGACACTCAAAAATTTTCAAATATTTGAATTGTTGAACATAGTTTGGCTCTGGAAAAACATTTGACCTTCCAGAGCTTATTAGGTCACCTTTAATCTAAATAGCATCCGGTTTTCCGTTTTTTAAGTCGTCCAGGCAACTATCTATTGTGGTATGTCTGTATCAAATACTTCAAAGTCTAAATTACGATCATCAACTTCTATTTCTTGGATTCATCTTTTTTTTTCTTCTCCGATAGATATTTCAGTTGGTGCAAGCAATTATCTACCTGTTAAATGCCTTAAGTCTTCCTCTTCTTCTTATTTTCCAGAATCCTCATCGGTCAAACTGGTTGAACTGGGGGGCTCCATATTTCTCCTGCTCCATAATCTATATATTCTTTCTTCTTTTCTGGCGTCACATTTTTTTCATCAACCGACAGAATTTACACGGCAACATGGAGACTTATTCCCGGTTAAATTTTTAAAATCATAAAAAGTCAAACGTTTTAGAAAGCTAAAAAAATGTTAACAATAATATAATATTTATTAAACCAAAAACCCATTATGAAATTTGTGAAGAAAAATTTGATCCTAACTACTTACTACATCGCAGCTAATAAATAGTGCCACTAGGTAACGACATTTTACAAAAAATGCTGTCAGCGTAAATTTTTCAATCGCAACCGACAAAGGATTCTGAAACGAAAAAGAGCCTCGAAAGTACCAAAATTCGTACAAAATAACGAAGTAACTTCCGAAGCTATCTTCTTTGTCATAAAATAAGTGGGATTGTACATACAGTAAAATCTCGATATTTTGTATCCCGATATATCCTATGAAGGAAAGAATCTCGTTAAATCCTATAAAACCAATGCATTTATGCTGTAACGACTTTTTTTCGCCTTCAAGTCGTCGAAACGTTTTATAATTTGTATTTTAGCATTGAAATCCCAATGAAACAAACAAAGGTCTATTGTGACCAATGGTGGGTGATTCCAAGATTTTATTTATAACATCCGATTCTTCTAAAGATGTAGATGATCATTGCTAACTGCAAATTCAGACGAAGAAGGGAAGAAGGTAACGGCAACCACAATAAAAAAAATTGTTTCTGAACTTGTGGTTCCCTTAAGGACAGAACCGGAAAATGAAATCCAATCGGATGTCAACCCTTGTGACAAAATGAAGGAAATCCCACGGCTTATCAAGACTTCGTTAATTTTGACCAGCAATACACAGTACATATTTAAATAATTATTTAATGCAAACAAAAATTGACCAAAAATAACATATGTACATATAAAATAATAAACTTTACTTACATACATATATACACAATACAATAAAAAATTAAAGCGTTCCATATAACGTATTTTCCATTTTTACCCTCGATACATCATAATCTAGATATAGTGAACATGTCGATATACCGTAATTATACTTCGTCTGCTTGAAGATACAATACATGGGGATTTAAGTGTATTTTCAAATGTGGTAACAACTGGATGTATTTACTCTTATAAATCAAAGTCAATTTACAGTAAATAAACTTGCCTTGGCTTTCTGGTTAGTTCCTTCTTAAATTCTAGCTTTCTAATTTATTTCTAGTTAATAGGTAATACTGTGTTAAATTAAAATCAGCTTCATCCTCTAATTTTGAGTCAGGAGTGCTGCAGGGATCTTGTATTGGACCTCTTCTTTTTGTTTGTATATTAAAGTTATAATTGAAGGTTTTGATGATGTCAAATTTCTACTTTATGCAGATGATCTAAAAGTTTTTTAAAATAGCCAATCTGTTAGAATTAAAGATTGATAAACTAGTTTCATGGTAAAATGATAATTCTTTTAAACAGAACATTGCCAATTGCAATGTAATGAGTTATTTCAAGAGCAAAAGAAAAGTTAACTTTTTGAAGAAAATTGATGGTACCACTACATATAGTCAGACATAGAGCTTTAGAAGATCTTGGTGTTCTGTTTGACACGGATCTTTCATTTGTAAATGATATTGCTATCATTAAGAAAAAATCGATAAAAATATTATGTTTTTTAATATAAATCCAAGCTCTTTAATAATATTCAGCCAATTAAAAAGAATACTGCTCCCTCTCTAAATCACATCTCGAGTATGCTTCTATTATTTGTTCTGCTTACAACGAATCCCACTCTGATAACATTGAGAACATTTAAAATAAGTCCTTAAAGCTCAATGCTGTTGAGGATTAAATCTGATGAAATCAACTAATTCTTCTTAAGATTAAATCTTCTTACACTACTCACTTTAACTTCCCTTTCATATAGACATACGATTTTGGACATATTGTTTTTGTCTAACGCTATTCACAATCATATTGACTGTGAAATTTTTTTATATTTAAATAATTTTAATATTCCCTACTATTCCACACGCAGTAACACTCCCTTTCAAACATACAACACAACTAATTTATTACATTTAGAAATATGAGACTTGGAAATATGGTGTCAGATGAGGTTGGCTTTTCTTCAAGGATAGTTATAAAAAATAAATACATGAATTTTAACAGTATTTATTCCTAATTGTTTTATTACTTTTTTATCTTTAATTGTTAGTTTAGTGCATTTTTATTTACTTGTCCTTATTTCTTATATTGTACCTATTATACTTATTGTATAATTATATACATAAATTTATATTTAATTAATATTAAAATTAGCATATATTATAAGATATATTATACCTGCATGTCTTCTAATTTTGTAAATGTGGTTCTAGCTTTTATTTGCATTATTTTTGTTATGTTTTATTTATCAATATTCTAATATGTTTCATGGTTTATTATTTATAAGGGATATTACATTTTTATTTAATAGGCATTATTTGCCAGTCTATGTGAAAATAAATAAACATTTCCAGTTATGCTGTTTGGCTTTACTGGGATGTAACGGGTTAAAATAATTGCTATATATTAATGTATTAAATATAGCAAATACCTCAAGATTGTTTGCCTTCAACAAAAAGTGAATAAATACAAAATCTCTGTTGAATAAATTTTGGAATGTACATGTTGGTCTCGAACCCACATGCCCCGTCTCGAGTCTCGCTAAGGATTGTTTGACTAATGTAAAGGCTGTTAGCTTGCTCATCTTGTTTAATCAGTTCACGTGCCGGAATTTAATGTTCTACAGGAGCGAACAACTGCGTAATTACGGCTATGTTCATTACAAATCACGGATGACATCGAGATCGGAATTCGTTGCCAGATTACAATTGATAATTTTAATTGTTATATTCATGAATGTTATAATACACCTTGGGTGTTGTATCCATTCGCACATGGGCGATCCTTAGTTTTGTGACCTACTTTCGTCATCGATCGTTATTAATAACAACGCCGGATACAAATTTAATTAATTGATCAAAAGGAAAAACAATCCTTGCAGAAAATCGTTAAAAGACTTTTGTATAAATTACCCTGCCCAGATGAAAAATTACTATGATTTAATTAATTTTGAGCATGGGATTCGTTTCAAGTGAGTCCAGTGGGTAAATAAATAAAAATTCCCTTATGCCAAAACTTACAAAGACAAGTTTCTGAGTTGAGACAAACTTTTGACATGATTTATTGATATTGATCGATCGAAATCCTCTCGTTGTATTTTCAGGCTCGGGTCGACGTCTTCATTCAGTCTGTTAAAGAAATTTACATTAATATATACAAAATAATTAGTGAATGCTCATAAAAAGCTTAAGCAGTAGGAAATAGACAAGACAAACAACTCTGCTCACAACGACACCACCACTTCACTGACAATTACACGAGTCTTTTTGAAGCCATTTTAAAAAGAACTCTTTTTCAACCAGTTTCGACTTGACGTGAATATAGTCATCACTTTGAAAAACAAAGCTGATAAACTGTCTTAGAAGGAAAACTTTCAGACAGTTTGTAATATTAAGCGTCGTAAAAACACTATGTATAGCTCAAAAAGCCTGGACGAACACCACCCCGACCGTTCTAACTTACGTGAATAATTCATACTTCGTGTCTGCACCATTTTCGTATTCTTGGAAAACATCGGTCTCTTCTAAAACGTCTCGAAGACAATTCAAATCTTTAACATCAAAACTAAATCTACTCTTGGGACTGGAAGCCATCGCTTTTGAATCGCTCAAAATGTCATCGGTGACGTTATTTGGGCTTACGCCCAGAGCCGAATGTATTCTGAATTTAAATCTGTCCCATAGCCTGCTCGACGGCGACGTTTCCCCTATTGAACAACTGCTGAAACGATTAATATCAAATGTAGATATCAAAGTTGGTAAAGATTCGTGTACCTCTCTCTCATCCTCGACGTCGTATCCAGCGTAACCGGTAACGTTTCCGTCGTGCTGTCGACAAAATCCGCGGGTGGAGGTGCCGCGACGGTCGTCGTGGCCAACGGAGATGCCCGGTCGAAAAACACCTCGTCATCATCTATTGGCGACGACGTTGACAATTGCGGGGTCGCTCCTCCGAATGTCGATGGCGAGTAACTTCTCGTTGATCTCCGTCCTTGCGAAACCGAATCCCTCGATCTATGCTTATTTAACGCCTGCAAAAAACAAAATAAAAAATTATAATGCAATATCGATTTGAAAATACACGAGTTTTATTAGTTAAATTACAAATCGACTTTTGACATAGAACTTTTGCATAAACCTTATGTCGAAAGAACCAGACCCTGTCGTGTTTTTATATGAAATATTGAAATTAACAATTTAATTAGTTACTAGGACAGTGGGCGCCCATTAGTTACACATAGAATAAGCGTTGAGCATAATTTACGATTCAGAAAATAAGAAGCCTGTAGAATGAGCTACAGAAAGCCTGCTGACCTATGTATGGCATTACTGCTCGGAGCGGACACGGATTCCAGACCGCAGGACTATCAGAGTTTTTAAAATTATAAAGTATTTTGGGTTGGTGTGAATATATTATCTGTCCAATCTTTACATACACTGTAGTATATTTGTATATACTATCTGTATGATGGCCTATACCCCAGCACGAGGAATGTCGAATAATATGGAGTAAAAGTAATTCATTAGCGTGAATGGGTTTAAACCCTCACCGAGGAATATCGAGTAGTCTAGGGGAATGAATGTGTCTGTTTTGTGTTTATAGGTGAAGGGATACTTACACCGTCGGAATATTTTTATCTGATATGGATTTGTATATGTGTCTTGTTTTTCTTTTATTAATAATTTGACAACGTGCAGTAACGAGAGGTTAACCACCTAAGAAAACAGGGGAAAAAGTATGTGAGTCAGAGAGAAAGAAGCGTGAAAGACAAAAAGCCGCAGAAATTTCCGTTTTATACACCGACGACCTACGAAGACTTGACGAGCTTTGTTTTATATATTTAATATCAGGGATAGTTTGAAAGCGAAAAAAATTATTCTTTTTATCATAGAAGCCTAGATGCAAATTAGATGCTATTAGACTTTAAAATGATACAATGTGCAGCTTGGAAATAATGGAACATACAAATCATGTTATTAGTGTGTGACCCGTTTATCACTGAGGATGAAATGTTTTAATTAAAAAATATTAACTTACGTAAAACTTTTAGTCATTTAAGTGGTCACGACTCGGGTCTGTGTAAATACTTAGAGGCAAGTTTGCATTACAGTGTGTTATTACTAAGGGAGTTATATTAACTGTTAATGTTGACCTATTCATGCCTGTCGTAATTATGCATGTGTATATATATGGGACTTCGTGTTTATATACGTGTGTATAAATCAATAAAATTTAAAATCTTTTGTTCCTATGTATTAATCTTTTACGCTTTTATATAAATAACAGAATACAAGATCATATTATTTTCCATATATGTATTATACTGTCAATCATTATTATTTTCCCCGTTTTTTTTAAACTATTGAGCTAATGCACATTACATTTGTGATCGTATACTAAATACAAAATTTGACTTGACACGTGTAGTAAAGACAAACGACATTTCTTACTTAATCAGATTATTAATACATTTGGTAAAAATAGCTTGCAATAATTAATTATTTGACAATAATAGATAATAGATAGGAATTTGGGAAGGTACGTGGTCGGAGTGTGTCTTCCATGTCAGTCGTCTTTATTATCTTGGAGTTGGTCTGCTCTGGGAAATTTCTTGCATCAGTTGGTTGGGGTGCGGTAAACAATAATGGACCAGTGGTGTCGACTGTGGTACATTTGATCACCGTGATAACGTTAGGGATGTGTAAGCCTTTGTGGATAGATAGGCACTGAGCATTTGTTATTAATCGAGGATACGGTTCTGATTGTTCTGCACCTTTTTAATTTGTGAATCAGATGCCTATGACCATACGTCGCAATGTAATTCTAGATAGACCTTATGATCATTGTGTAAATGAGTCGCTGCACGTGGAGAGGGATGGTTTTACTGGTGAGGAGATGTTTCAGAAGGTACATTCGATGCCGAGTCCGTGTAACAATGTTTTTAATATGTTTCCCATATTTTCATCCAGCCCTAGATATTGCTTCATTTGACACGAGGCGACGGTAAGTAAATTGGACTACTTGTGACATCGTTGGGTTTACTTTTACACCAATTGCTGACGCTGTGCGAGAATGAACAAAGTGGTTTGTTTTTAAAAGGGATTTTTTTGGGAAATCACTTCAAAGGAGAAGGTAGGGAAAAGGCCCCAGCATACTGTTTTGAGGTACTCCCTATTCAGAAAAACTGAATAGGCTTCTACATAGCGAACTAAATAACTTCGATTCGTAAGGTAAGATTGCACTTGCGGTACATGGAGTCATCAAGATGAGGCATAATTTTTATTAAGATGCCTGGGTGCCACAATTTTTCGAATGCGTTATCAGTGTCTACGGACAGCCCTAGACAGACTTGGACCTGGAAGGAGTGTAGGGATCTGAACCCCAATTCGCTGAGTGGGAAAACTGGCTGCAAGTGAACATACCATCCCTAACCATTATTTTTGCGTGGACGAATTTTTATCATGTGGATTTAACAATACCGAACCTGAACAGGGTGAACTATTAAAAAAGTTGATTTATCGAAGATCATAAAATAACTAATTATATTGTTGTCTGTTATACAAAGGATTAACTTATTTAGATAGGAGGAGGCTTTACATTTCTGAACATTAATGCAACTTTTAATAATTAAGCAACGCTTCACGCCTGTCTAAAATCTTCAACCTGGCTACGACGTTACAACTTTTCAAACCAAATCGTTTTCAACTCTTTTGTAAAATATCTTAATATCTAATTAAAATGAGATCATTTCAAATAAAAACCGATGTACGCTTGTAGAGTTATAAAAAATAGTTTAAACATTTGAAATCAACGTTTTAAACTATGAAAAATTACAGAAGAGAGGATAATTAATGATACACAATGAGAATTTATGCTGCGATGTGATAAAGGGCGAGGTTAAAGTTGGTGGGAGATTTGTAGGGAGGCTCCCGGGAGAGCAATGTAGCCTTAAACTTGTAAAGCTATGAAAAAGAATGACTTAATTTTGAGGAAGATTTAAATTTTTCACCACCCTAATTCCCGTCACGTGGCAGAGAGGTCCGAGGCCGAAAGGAGTAGGGATTTAATTCAACTACGTGGTTTTGACATGTGTTGACTAAATAAGAAAATCGATTTTGGGTTTATGTCAGAGCGGTTACTCCCAACCCCTTTCCCCTTTCAGCCTCGGATTTGGTTGTGAATTACATGTTTAGCGTAGTAATCCACTCCAACACAGAACAGAATATAAATTGACGTGTAATGAAGTACAAGAGGAACAAGCATACATCAGATGGTTAATGTATATCTTCAGGGATTGCCACTGCATACAGGGAAATTGCAATTTTAACTTACACCGTTAGTCTTCGTTTAGTTTGCCTTCATAAATTTAATCGTTCCGTTTATCTGTTAAGAAATAAATGTTGACCAAAGCCTTAAACTAGCGAACTAATTTAATTTTACTTTAGGTTCTTTTTGTAAAAAAAAGTAACTACTTTATTGGAACTTCTAAACCGCTCTAATTAAATATAAAAAAAATGTAATCAACTCCCTCCGGTTTGAATTGATACATTGATCATCCATTCCCATTTTTTATCCAAAGATGGTTTTCTTGGGTTTGCTCAATGTGTATTTATTTTGTACACATAGCAATAAATAAAATACATTAAAAAAGAAACACGATAAACATATAAAATTGATAATTTTTCTGAGTGAAAATAAAGAATTATTAGAAATGATAAATGGCGGAGTGAGTATGTTGACATGACATTAATGATAAATATAGTTTGACATGGGCAGTTGGTATCCGAGTGGATCGAAGTCACGATAGCTCAAGTGGTTAGAGCGGCGGCATATTGAGCCGAAGGTCGTGAGTTCGAATCCCGCTCGTGACACTAGATTTTTCATCTCAACGAAGACCTTATAGAACGAATAATTAATTGAAAGAAGTATTTGTTCAATTAGACCACTAAACATAAATGGATTAATAATTAACGATAAACGTTAATAATTAATAATTAACGAACGTTGAAATAAATTAATCTGAACCTGATCGTGAAATATGATGGCGATATTTTCAACACATTGATAATTTTACCTCTTTTACTGTCTTGTATGTTTGACAGACGCAAAATATGACCCATTGGCCGCTATGATAGATAAGACTGAAGGGGCGAAGTAGTGGCTTTTTTACAGGATGAGAGTAAAATTCAAATCCCTGTTTTTCCTTTTTGTGATTGTCACAGTTTATAATGATTTCTCAGAACGAAAAATAAGAATTATATGTTTAAGTTTTAGTCTGTTTGGAAGAGGACAAGAGTGATCATGAACCGGAATGATAATGGTGGCTGCAGGATGGGAGTAAAGTTCAAATCTCAGCTATTTCATTTTTATTGTCGTCACACGTGAAAAAACTAGTTTATAACATTGAAAATTGGGATTTGCGGTTCTGATTTTTGAATCCCGGTATTGAACCTTTAAGGTGGATGGATTTGAGATTGCTTAATTTGGGAAATTTGTAAGTTTTTTAGATTTACAGTGTGACGAATCTGTCGATTCGGATCATCTTGATCTGCCACTTATGACTATGTTAGATTAATTGTAAAGCTGGAAAAGCATTTTTTATTTCTATTTTAAAGGAGGGGGGGATATTGTGAGTTTTTCTCAAGGAGGGAATTGCAGTGGCGAGTGGTTAGATCGTCCTACTAGTATTTGTCACGCTAGCGGTTCTGGGTTCGAATCCTGACAAAGCCCTGGTACTTTTAAGATGTGGGATTAATTTATAAAACACGGAGAGACGTTAAGCGTTATGACAGGATAATAAACGTGTCGATTATGATTATTCCGGTCTGCGTACCTATGTGTTGTTTCACTGTTATGTTAGCGTTTCATTTCCTTCATTACAATTAATTAAGGTTTTTAGTTGAGATGAAAAAAAGCTAATGGCACGAGAGGGATTCGAACCCACGTCCTTCGGCTAGATACGCCGCTGCTCTACCACCTGAGCTATCGTGACCTCGATCTACTCGGACTCAACTCCCCATCTCAACCCCACCTTATGAGTTTTCCCTCCTTTTGCCATTTTTCAACTGTCGTGTAATCGGTTTGGATTCTCGACGACAATTGAAATGGCGACGGAGAGCATTAGTGAAGTGTACTTCATTTTAATTCATTAAATTCACTAATTTCGTGGTCCGCTTGACCAATTAAATCATTACAATGAATTAAGGTTTTTAGTTGAGATGAAAAAAATGAAAAAAATTTAATGAATTAAAATGAAGTACACTTCACTAATGCTCTCCGTCGCCATTTCAATTGTCGTCGAGAATCCAAACCGATTGCACGACAGTTGAAAAATGGCAAAAGAAGGGAAAACTCATAAGGTGGGGTTGAGATGGGGAGTTGATGTCCGAGGGGATCGAGGTCACGATAGATCAGGTGGTAGAGCAGCGGCGTATCTAGCCGAAGGTCGTGCGTTCGAATCCCTCTCGTGCCATTAGCTTTTTTTTATCTCAACTAAAAACCTTAATTAATTGTAATGATTTAATTGGTCAAGCGGACCACGAAATTAGTGAATTTCTTCATTACATTTATTATCTAACATAAGAAGGAGCGATACACGATCAGTCTTATTGGTCAGTCACGCTCGATGTAAATTGATCATCCCTGCTTAGTAAATTATTTGTTTGTCCAAAGACTTTTTACAAGAATGATGGCCAATTTGGGCCTAATAAATGTTTCAATAGTGTATATTGTACCGTTGAGATGGATAGTACGTTGGTATTATCTTTGATTTATAGGATTTTTTTATTAAGAAGTAGAAAGTACAAACAGACGAAATGTGTGTTATTTTTAAATAATATTTTGTAATTGTTGACATACTTACGTTTACTATGAAAGCAACTCCTTTGAACGTCATACTAGCCACAGAAGGTTTTTGCCGTTTCGCCGCCGCCGCTTGCCACCTCGAAGAACTGTCGGTCTCTTCTCGTCCACCCGCAGGAAGGATGATATCTGGCTTAAGATTCTTTGAAATAAAATTTAAAAAAATTAGATTGTTTAGTTGTTTTTTTTAAAATAAAAAGTTTTTTATGTTGGTTTTATTACTTGTGTCGTAGCTTGTCGCTGATCCGCACATGGTCCCGTAGCTTCGCGATATTCAGGTTTCAGCTCTCCGTATCTAAAAAGTAATCGGATCGATTACTCAAGAAAGGCTTTGGCTCGGACTTGAGGTTATTTTAAAAATAGGCAAAAAGTCGCACAGTTTCGTTGATTTTCTTCCCTTCGACTCATCCGTGTACGGTTTTCTTTTGTGCCGACACTCGAATCGCCTGGACCGACTCCAAGTGAGAGAAGAAAAAGCTTTTGCTCGTTTTCGAAATAAAGGGCTTTACGGCATTCCAGATTAACCTAATTCGCAGTTCTCAGGGGCGACAAAGTGGGCCCTCATCAAGTACTCGTACAACTGGGATTTATTACCTTCGCTTGAAGTGACAATTTGCAAAACACATATTCTATATTCGATTCGAAGAGCTCTCCATGGAATAATAATTGTATCGTAGTTCTCTTCGGGCTAAGAGAAGAGGGATGTTTTGCAATTCATGAAGGTGCAAACACGCGGGGTAAAGGTAATGGAATGAAAACAAGAGAGTTAAGGAACTTACCTCCTACTTGCCATCCTTTTTCGTCTTCCCATCCAGATGTTCTTTTCCTTCTCTTCCGTCGCTTCGTCGACGCCGAAAAACATCGCCGCATTTTTTTTCAGCTTCCTGTAAAAATAAACATTACTTTCATGTAGCTTTCATTTATTAAAGATATGTTCTAGCTTTATATTCTATCTGGTGATCCAGGGTACCAAAAGACTTTAGTTATGCCCAAAAACAAACCAGCAACTCTGTTATTATTATTATTTAAATCTAGATACTCCAATTTGATTTTGAGTCAACGCAGCAAAAAAGGGAAGAGTCCGTTTTTAATTAATTTTTCTATAAGTTAGACAAACCCTGACGAGAGTGAAATAGGTCGATATTTTCGTTTGTCTTTAATATTTTCTTTTTTGAAAATCGGGATCACATTAGCATGTTTGAGCACTTCCGCAAAAACGCCTGTCGACATGCTACAGGTGCGATGTACTGGGCGATCTCCTTTAGGCATCGCGCACTTCCATGGATACCCGACGTTTTATTGTTTTTTAAGGAATGAATAGACTCGTACACTTCACCATCGACAACAGGATATATCAAAAAGGATGTCTCTTTCCTCGAGAAGACACCTAAGTCAGTTCGATGACTGTTTTCCCTCCCCTCTTCTTTCAACTCTCTCACACCCTCTCTTTTTCTCTCATTCTCTCACGGTTTGTCTCTCCATCTTTCTCTCATTATCTAGCGCTCACTCTCTCTCTCTCTCTCTAGCTCTCCCTTTTGCTCTCTCTGATTCTCTCTTTGTCATTCATTCTCTCTCCCTCTCCCAGTCTCTCTCACTCTATTTCTTTCTACTCTTCTCTTTCTCTCACATCCTTTGTATATCTCATTCTCTCTCTCTCTCTCTCTCTCTCTAGCTCTCCCTTTTGCTCTCTCTGATTCTCTCTTTGTCTTTCATTCTCTCTCCATCTCTCAGTCTCTCTCACTCTATTTCTTTCTACTCTGCTCTCTCCCATTCTTTGTATACCTCAATCTCTCTCTCTCTCTCTCTCTCTCTCTCTAGCTCTCCCTTTTGCTCTCTCTGATTCTCTCTTTGTCTTTCATTCTCTCTCCCTCTCCCAGTCTCTCTCACTCTATTTCTTTCTACTCTTCTCTCTCCCATTCTTTGTATACCTCAATCTCTCTCTCTCTCTCTCTCTCTCTCTCTCTCATTCTCTCTCACTCACAGGTTCTATTTTTCTCTCCTCTCTTTTCTTTTTTTTATGATTTATGGTTTTTAATATTAAATAATGAAATACCAATTATTTCATGATTTTTTGATGTACGCCTTAGGATATAGTTTCAAGAGCAGAGGGTGATTAATTGTGCTCAGGCGATTATTGTCAATTTTATTATAATTTTAAGCTTTGTTTTTATTATTACCATAAAATCCAAAAAATGTTTTAAGCTTTTTAACATGACATATTAAAAAAATCAACTGCCTGTCAATTTGTGCCTTAGGATAAAGCAAAAGATATAAAAGTAAAAGTAGTTTAATCCAAACTTCTTAGATATTGCGTCACTACGACTAGATATTTAAAAGTCGATACTTTTCAGATACTTTATCATGTTTTAAAGAAATATATGGGAAATAAATATGAGGAGTGATTTTTCGTAACTTAGGCCATTCTTCTCCATAAATCTATACGTGGTCTATGTTTTTCTTGTAACCCAAGGACAACTGTATTTTTCTTTTCATCCACAGCTTGTCGTCCATTAATCATTGTTTCGAAAAAACAACGGTGAAAGTTTGATAAATATACTTTTCGTTTCAGATCTAATTGATGGTATTCATTCAATGATAGAAACTGAGTGAAAAAGTGGTTCAATCATTAAAATTAGTTTTTTAAATATGTATGTTGAAAAGTTATCTGATTTATAATAGGTATGTTTTTTTAAATGAAATACAAACCGTACGTTAACGTCCTATACGACCCTCTTAAAAGTTATGTAGTGTTGAGCGTAGAGGAGAAAACTTTTTTATTTATACCAATATAAATTCAGAAGAGTTCTGTGCTTTTACTCAACTAGATCAAAGGCGCAATAACAATCAAGTAAGAAAAACACGAGCTCAATTATTTCGCTCTCTTTTCTTTCCATTTATCATCGTGTAGGATTACAACTTATAATAAACTTTTTCTCTCTAAGCAACAATAAGTGCATTGCTTCGAAGTAAAGCACAAGAAAAAACTGTCATGAACGATTATTGAGATTTATTTCAGTTGTGTTTTCTGTTGGTAAACATTCGTTTCATCTTTTTAAATGTAACGATTTTAATTTGGGTCATGTCGGTGCGTAACATTGTTTCAAAACGGGTTATGAAAATCGCTCTCCTTTCCTAATGGCGTTTTCCATCATGCCAAGTATGAAATACACATTTGTTCCCGCTGCGTTTCCCCGAAGGGAAGTTTAAAAATTAATTCCGCTTCCGTGACAGCCTCTTTTTATCAATACAAATAAAAACGATTTAAGGGGACTCGATGGAAGCGAGTTACACGAGGCGAATTATTTTTTAGCACGTCGGGTCGTGAACAGGTCCGAGATTAGATAAGGTTTATCGTTTAGTATTTGTTCCTCAGTCGGAAAAACTTTATTCACTTAATCTAATTCAAGCCACGTTCGTTAACCTTCCCCTCTTCAACGGTCGATTCCAGAGTAACAACATAGTTTCCTTCTGGAATTGTTTGTGTGAGGGAGAAAAAAAACATGTTACAAACTTGCTAAATGTTTATTATTAGTTGGTCCGAACAATTTAATTCTCTTAGAGTACTTTTAAAAGGGAAAAATACCAATTCTATGAACTTTAATGAATTTAATCTATGATAAATCAGTGACATTTTAAAAATACTGGCCTTTTATTATTTTTAACGACGTTATTTGTGTGTCCTATCCTACTTATTAGATTTCCTTTGTCCAGAAGTGTAAATTTTTCTCCCTCACACACACAATTCCAGAAGGAAATTATATGAACTTTTTTTAAGGATATCAACCGCCTATCGCATTTGTTATTCATGTGAGATCTCATCTGGCTGGCGAAGAGAAAGAATATACAATTTGGAGATGATATAAGGGTTTCTAACATTTTCACTATTAAACCCATTATATTTAATGGTCTATTGACCTAATTATTTCTTTCAATTAATTAATCCTTTTATGTATGGTTTAGGTTGAAATGAAAAAGTTAGGGTCACGAGCGGCATTCGAACCCACGACCTCCGGTTCAATACGCCACTGTTCTCACTTGAGCTATCGTGACTTCGACCATTCGGACACCAACTCCCCATCTCAACCTACAATATTTTCGAATTTTCTCTCTTTTTTGCCATTTTTCAAAGTCGTGTAATCAGGATTTGATTCTCGGCGACATATGAATTGGCCACGGGAAGCTGTTAGTGATAGAAATGATAAATGATAAATGAGCTGTTAGTGAAGTTATACTTCGTTTTACTTATTAAATCCATTATATGTATTGGATAAGTAATTAAGCCCTACAAGTAATTAACCTTTTTATGCTAGGTTTTGGCTGAAAAATGGCAAAAAGGAGGGTAAATTCGAAAGGTTGTAGGTTGCGATGGGGAGTTGGTGTCTGAGTGGTCGAAGTCACGATAGCTCATAGTGGTAGAGCAGCGGCGTTTTTAGTCGAAGGTCATGGGTTCGAATCCCGCTCGACACTAACTTTTTCATTTCAACCAAAACGGTACATAAAAAGATTAATTAATTTTCACTTTTTTTAAAGGACAATGCAATGAAACGTCGACAATGTACTGATAAAAATATTCAAAGTGTTAATATATTCAAGCTATCCTTTAATCAGAAGAGCGACTATTTAAAACTTTGGATAATTGACGTAAGTATTGATTTTATAACTAGCTTAAACGCTGTACCATTTCTTAAAAGCCAATAAACTTTAGGCCTAAAAAAGCCTTAAACAAAAAGCTACCCTTTAAAGGACTGTTAAAACAAACAAATCCGAATATGTTATTAAAACTTTAGGTCACTATTTTCAATCTTCTTAAGATGCTTAACTTCTTTTATTTTAGTTGGAAGTCGCAAAAAGTGAGCCATGAACCGGAGTGAGAGATAATTTGAAAGTCTGTGCTGTATTGTTGAATAAGGGGCAAGTTCTAATCCCAGTTCTTTCATGTTTGTTGCAGTCTCACGTGAAACACGATTTTACAAAGGTGATAATCATGTAAAATTGATAATTTTTCTGAGTGAAATTAAACAATTATTGTTTTATCATTATAAAAACGATAAGACATGAATGCTAAATTTATTTATTTAAAGGAACATTTAAATAAACTAATCTGAAACTAATCATAGAACATGATGACGTTATTTTTTTAACAAAGAGTTCTAATCCCAAAATTTATAATTTTGAAAATTGGGGACGGCGGTATCCTCGTAAATGTCACGAATCTCTGGCATAACAATTGGACTTTTGAGATGTACGGGTTTGAGAATAATTTGGAAAACATGGAAGGATGTTAAGCCTTTTTTTAATGACAAGTAAGTGAGTTGACTATTTAATCTGTGATTTCCCGGCATAATCCGTGGCTTTTTAATTGATCATAATTGAGAAAAACTGATTTGACTATTTATCCGCAACACCCAACGTATACTTGGAAGTTAAGCCCTCCTTTATGACAGGTATTACGTTTTAATCTTAAAAATTAACAATTTTCCTAATTGAAAATCATTATTTTTTTTCAGCTGTATAACAGAAAATGATCTGATTACCTAAGCAATATGAAATTATTCTTAGAACTTGATGGCGTTTTTTTTACATTATTAACCAATTTTACTTATTTTTCATTATAAATGAGAGTCTGAAGATGCGAGGTCTTTAATTTTTGTGGTAGTCTGACGTATACAAAACTGCCGTCTGAGATGTACAATATACAATGCTAACATTGTACAAGATAGGATGTTGCTGTTAATATTTAAGTTTTCAAAAACGATATGAATCGGAGAATAATTTATTCCATATGATTGTTATCAGCAAACACAAGTAAAATATAATTATATAGTTTGCTCTATTTATTAAAACTTGATATCTGCCAAGTCAATACCACAAAATTTATAAAAAG